TTTCATTTAGCATGTTATTTTGTGTTTTGTTTTGTTATTTGTTTGGTTATTTTAGTTGACTTAAAACTTGTAATGAACTACTTTTGATGTGTAATACACTAAGTTTGCTTCTTTATGTTTCATGTCTTATTTAAGTCTACATCTCTAGCATTAACATCATTATATGTGAATGTTTGTTAATGTTTTATCTGTTGCAAAGAGTATGATTATGTATTTATGGATATGTTTTGATTACGAATGAGCTATTGCTTCACTCTTTTTGATGTTTTCAAAGGGGAGAATGCAAAAGCAAGTGCTTCACAAAGATAGCTCAGAATTTTACAATGCATACAGTCAGAGGGAGAATGCTCAGAATTTTACAATGCATATAGTCAGGGGGAGAAAGCTTCACATAGTACTCGATGTGTCAAAGGTTTTGCAAAGGTTTTTCCATCATCAATAGGGGGAGTATGTGAGGGAAAGGTTCCTTACTCCTTGTCAAAACTAGTAATATCTTGTATTTGTGCACTTTGGAGGGTGTCATCGCATCTTAGATTACATTCATTCTCAATATGCATATAATAATCCACATACGTGTGTCTATGCATATAGTATCATCCCATCTATGAAAGTTGTGCATTGGATCATGTTGAATACCTTAGGTCAACTTAAAAAAGGCTTTAAGTCGATTCAAATACTTATAAAAATATGTTTGTTGCATTCTAGTTTCTATGCATCGACTCACAGAGCTGTGGAGGTCGACGCATGTTGTTGCATAAATCAATTATTGATCTCGGGTGTCCTTGCGTCGACCCACATATGTGTGGAGGTCGACACATACTGTAAGAAAAATAAGTATTTGCTCTCAGATTCCTTTGTGTCGACGCATGGCTTAGCTCAGGTCAATGCATGGTGTGAATTTTTGCGTAGATTTGCGTTCGGGTGTGCTGAGGTCGACTCATGGAGTGCTGAGGTCGACCTTTCGCTCTCTTAAACACATTTTTCTAATTCTTTGTGTTTCAAAAAGCTATTAATTCAGTTTTGTGATCTTGGTCTCATATATATTCATATGCATCATATTTTGTACTTACATAAAACAACAAAAGTGAAAATATACATTGAATTTGCTCATCATCTTCATTCTCACACTTGCATTCTTCAACAACTACACATAATCATTTTTGTTGATCTTTGCATTGTAGAGGTGATAACGTCCAAACTTAGGATTTATATATCGTTGTTTATGTTGAGAATTCAGTGGGTTTTTCTTGAAAAAAACCTTTGGGGTTTTGTCCTCCAAGATCTTGAGGATTTGGGGGTTTCTTGCATAAATCTTTGCATCATAGATTCAGCCGAGTGAAAGGTTTGAAGAACAGTGGGTTCGTTCAAATAAGTAGCGATAAATGGAGGATTGTGTTGAAAGATTTAGGGTCAAACGTCTTGCGATCAGAATCAGTCGAGTAAAAGGCTTGAAGAACAGTGGGTTCATTCAAGTAGAGGTAACCAGAGGTTTGATCGAAGAGTTTGATGTTTTTGATTAAGCTAGAATCAAGGGGAGAGAAGTAGATAAAATCAACATCAACAATTGGTTTTGAGTGTGTGGTGGCTATAACTTCTCTTGTACAAAACTTTGCAACTTGATATTATATATATCTCAATTCTAATTTTAGAATTGGGGGAAGACGTGCCCGAAGCATGGACAAAAATGGGAACTTCCTAAACAAATCCGATGTTGTTCTCTCTTTCTCTATGTCTTTACTTTGTTAATGTTTACGTGATATCAATTGTTCAGTAGTTTTTCTGTTGTAGTGTAGTGCTGAAAAACTGTTTTGAAAAGTCATTGTAAACACTTTGATTATAATTGCTCAAAATTTTGCACTATCTTTTCATAGGAAATTGAACTTAGGGTGTTGTGCACACCAAGTGTTCAACATATTGATCAAACACAAACTGTTCGTGAATTTGTCGGTTTAATTTTACCTTAATATTTCATTGGAAATTGGTTGATTCAAAGTGGTATTAATTTGGATAATTGATTGTGAAAATTGTTGATTCGTTTATCTCATCGATTTCATTCTATATTGGCTACACATATTTGATCTTACCAATAACGGTTCATTTAGACGATTAAAATCCACGACCGCTTTCGCACATTTTTGAAACAATTTTTAAGCGCCAATTCTTATTAAAAATTAGTGATATATTCAACCCCCTTCTAGATCATTGTCATCGTCTAACAACAATCACTCCCTCGCCCTCGGGTATTACATCAAACATATATTTTCAAGAGTTTCCTATAGAGTACTATAGATGTTTTAGGTGTTAACATATTTCCAATTGCATAACTAACTCCCTTACCATTGTCTCTGTTTTTATTTTTATTTTTTTAAACTTCTGTGGGTTTTGTTTGTTCTTTTCCTTTTTCCTTTGGAAAAAATAAATGTTCGGTGCCAACTCTTGCTTTATGATTTAAGTTAATCAATAGATTAATCTCAAATTTTCCCGCTACATTGGGAGATCTGGTGGCATAGTCACAATTTGCAACAAGGACATTTGTTGCCCAACTTTTAGTTTTTAAGATGAAGGTTTCTTAGGGTTCAATTGTACCTGGAATAGGGTTAAATGTTACTTGATGAACGTCTGTTGAATGTCAAACATGTTTTAATTCGATCCATATTTATTGGTATTTTTTATCTCATTTGTTATGTTTTGATTGGACTTATTTCATGTTTTCATGCTATTCTTCAACAAATATATTTGGTTGCTTTGATTTGTTTGTTATTGTGCAAGATTTAGGCATAACTCAAAGAAGTAAGACACAAGTAATTTTACAAGGAAGCCAAATGACATGTGAAGTTTTAGCATGTTCACTGGGTGAACAACCAGCAAGGACCGGCAACGAATGTTCGTTGGGCAAGCAACTGGAGAAGTCCAAGCTAACCATCTCAAATTAGAGGCAGAAAGAAAAGGACTATAAGTTTGTTAGGCGAACATGAAGCGAATGATCACTAGGCGAGGTTGCAGCCACTACTAAAAACTTCACGTTTAGTGACCGAAAAAGCATAAAAATCTGTCACTATAATGTTTAGCGACCAATAAAGTGACCATAATTTTTCGGTTGGAAAAGTGTTAGTCGCTAACCTTTAGCAACGTATTCAATGATCGATTTTAGTGACCAAAATTTAGAATGAATTAGTGACCAAAATTTAGAATGAATTAGTGATCAATTTAGCCACCATTTTTTGTGTGTTAACGAAATAAAAATAAAATGAAAATAATTTCCTCATTGAAGCATCGAACTCGTGACCTTGAGTTGTAAAGTACACACGTTACCACTAGGACACATCATAACAACTATCAATTTCATATTTGAAATGATATACATTATTAAAATATAATTTTTATAATTTCATTTAATTTACATTTTTTATTAAATTACAAAATAAAAATGTGAAACTTTGACTACAAACTAAAAATTAAGATGAACTTAAAATATTAAAAAAGGAGAGAAAATTAGGAGGGAAAGTAGTAACTTAAAAAAGAAGACCACAAAAACTATTAGTGACCAAAATTGCGGTCATTGAAATTTTTTAATAAATTTATTTTGTGAAAAAATATATTTTGTGACTGAACATTACGGTCACAAAATTCCGTTCACTAATTTGGTGGCTAACCTTATTTGTTGACCGATTTAGAGACTTTAAATATTTTATTAACATGATGTCAAAGTTTAGTGGCTAATTCGGTGGCTAAAGTGACCAAAATTTTTTAGTCACTAAATTGGTCACTAAAAGCGAATTTTCTAGTAGTGAGCGAAGGACCATCGAACCATCCCAATTTTGAGGCAGTATCTAAAGGACCCTAAGTTCGTTGTGTGAAGTTGTAGCGAAGTAGCTCGCAGGACGAAGAATAGTTCGCTAGGCGAGTTCAGATATTTTCTCAAGGGCGGTTTAACTCTTCAGGGCACTTCAGGTTCCACAAAATAGAGTTCGCTGGACAAACATGGCAGATTTTAGTTGTACAGTATAAATACTTTTAACACTTTTTGGGGATCATAACCCATTTTTCACATAGAAACCTTATTTTTCAGCATTTCTTCACCAAAGAATGATATTTTAAAAATAGAAGTTGGATTCGCATCCGAGTTTCATTCTTAGATGTGAATGCTCATTTATCTTCTCTCTTTACTTGTAAACCAATCTACCATAGTTATGGGTAGCTATTTTCTCTTGTATCAAAGGTAGATGTAGTCTACATTAACTTTATTTATTTCTTTTGATTGAGCTTGTATGTAAAAAAGTGATGATTAATATATTATGAATATTTTTGTTTTTAATGATCCATTCTTGTTTTGTAAAACTCTATACATAGATTTTATGGAACTTGACCTAAAATACTCATCTATCGATTTATAGATTGGAGAGATCGGTCTATGGTTGATATTCGATTTATATTGGACTTAAAGCTTACTATATTATTTGTTATATGGAGAGATCGTGTAGCGATGAATACGGTATTTCTCACGACGCCGCTCTAGAGATAGATGTTGTTGGGAGAATACACGATAATATTAATCGGATCCGACTTTCACATACAAGATTGAAAGAATATGTATAAGTTAAGGTAGATGAAAACTACTTTTGATATACTTTATTAAACAAACACTTTATAATTTATAAGCTTTGCTACTAAAAATCGTGACAGCTTATGAATCAAAATTTGAAACCCTTTTTCTTAAAACTTTACACTATTAAAAGGCAAACATCAAGATATCGGACAATCTCTATGAAAACGATAACAAAAAACCCTCTAACTATGATTTGAACAACGTCTACTCTCCTTGTGATTTAAGGTAAAAAAGAAGACTTTAGAATAACCTCATTGATTGGAAGGCCAAGCTTCCTGTAGGTGAATGGGTGATTTGTGGGGACTCCAATGTAATAAAAACTGTGGAGGAGAGGAATGGGAAGGGTAAGCCATGTGAGTCTGAAATGGAAAAATTCTCAACCTTCATCCAGGTTATGAAGCTAGTAGATTTGTCGGTTGTTGGTAACAGATTCACTTGGTTCAGTTTTAATGGCAGGTGCAAGACTAGACTAGACAGATTTTTAATTTCGGAAGGGTTGCTTAAAGAATGGAAACTTGATGTGAAATATGTAGGTGATCGAGATATATCAGGTCATAGGCCTATTTGGGTGAAAAGCTCTAATTCTAACTGGGGACCTAAACTGTTCAAATTCTAACTAGGGACCTTACGATCATCCGAATTTTATGGATTTCGTAAGAAGGGAGTGGAACTCATACTAGGTATTGGATTGTCAAGGTAACTTATTAGTGTCTAAATTCAGATTCTTGTGGGAGAGACTTAGATGGTGGAATCGTAATGTATTTGGATGGGTGGATTTGAAGATTGATAAAGAGGTGGAGACTTTTAATGATATTGAAGCAACCTTGGCTGCCTATAATGGGAAACTTTCTGAGGAAGACTTGGTTTGTAGGGGTTGAATTCAATATGAAATTTGGCAAGGTTTACTTTACAAGGAGAGTATGGTTAAACAAAAGTCAAGAACAAAATGGGTGCAAGAGGAGGATATTAATTCTAGCTATTTTCATTCAATGATAAGGAATATATTTAGACAAAATATTATCTCATCGGCAATGGTTGAAGATGGCTTGGACAATGATGTTGTGAGAGTAAAAGAAACTGTCAAAGAGGCTTTTAAAGCCAGATTTGTGAAACCTTGTGTTTCTATTGTTGATATGAATCTTGTAGATCTTCATAAAATTTTCGTAGCAGAGGCATGGCTATTGCAAAGGTCGTTCTCTGTGGAGAATGTTTTTGAGGCTATTAGAGATGGTGATGCCAAAAAGAGCCCAGGTCCAAACAGATTCAACCTTTTTCTCAGTCGCTATTGGGATGTTATGGAGGGAGACGTGGCGAAATTCATTCAAGAGTTTTATACTACAACTAGTCTTCCAAGAGCGTTCAGTTCGTATTTCATTACATTGGTGCCTAAAAGGAGAATTTGCAATGTATGGAAGAGTTTTAGCCTATCAGGCTTATGGGGTTGTATTTACAAGTTCATTTCGAAGAGCCTTGTTGGAAGGTAAAGCAACGGTATCGGTAAACTAATCTCGAACACTCAAACAACCTTCATTTTTGGGCGGCAGATACTTGATGGAGTTTTTGTCGACAACGAACTAATCGATCTAGCCAAGAGAAGAAAGCGAGGGTTTCTAATGTTTAAGGTAGATTTTGTACGACCTATGATTGTGTAGAGTGGGATTTTTTGGTGAATATTTTGAAGGCTATGAATTTTGGAGATAAATGGATACAATGGATCAAGGGATGAGTTATGGATATTCATCTGACAGTGCTAGTTAATGGTAGTACGTCCAAAGATTTCCTGGATAATAAGGGACTTAGACATAGAGAACCCTTGTCCCCTTTTCTGTATTCTATGGTTGCTGAGGCTCTGGTAGTGGTGGTCAGGAGAGCGATCTCAAAGCATTTGTTTAAGAGGTTTAAGCATAGTGGGGAAGAGGAGATTAACCTTGTCCAATTCGCGGATGATACCATTTTGACATGTGAAGATATATAGAGTAATTTATAGGGAATCAAGACAACTTTAAGAGGGTTCGAGTTGGTTTCTAGACTGAGAATTAATCTCTTGAAAAGCAGTCTTTTTGGTATTTGTGTAGCAGAATCATTTTCACAGGCTACTTCACAGTTTTTGGTGTGCAATTTAGGTACGTTCCCTTTTAAATTTCTAGGTATTTGTGTTGGTGGGAACCATATACAAGTTGCATTTTGGAAATAGGTTGTGGATTTATTCAAATCAAGATTGTCTGCATGGAAAGGCAAATTAATTTTGATTGGAGGGAGGGTAACATTAATAAATTTTGTCCTTACAAAATTACGATTCATTATCTTGTGCTTTTTAAAGCTCCATCTAAGGTTATTAAACAATTAGTGGATATCCAACGAAGGTTCCTTTGGGCTGGTAATGCTGAATCGAACTCGATGGCTTGGGTAAGTTGGTCAATAGTATGTAAACCTACTAATCAAGGTGGTATCGACATCAAAAGTTTACATGAATTTAATGTTTCTTTGTTGACAAAATGGATGTGGAGGATTATTCATGAACCTGACACAATTTGGCGGAAGTTGATGCACTTTAAGTATGAAAGTATTGTGAAAAGGATTCTGTTAAAATCAGACGTATCGACTGGTCGATTGAATTCACTGTGGTGGAGGGATATTTTGTTGTTGTGTGATTGTTCTGAGCATGCTGCTTTTTAGGATAGTTATCTTGCAAACTAGGGAATGGCCATCTAGTCTCCTTTTTGCATGCGAAATGGCTCGATAGAAAACCATTAAGAGAGTGTTTTCCTGCTCTTTATGTTGCGTAGGATACGAAAAACATTGTTGTAATCGATTGTGGCTTTTGGGTGGAAGTCGTCTGGCAGTGGAGTATCTTGGGAGCGGAGGAGCAGTCGTCTGAAGCGGGAAATGCAAAGCAGTTCAAACTACTGAATATCCTTGCAGGGGTTATTCCTAAACTGCATGTCCATGACAGTTTTGCTTGGCCGGAAGCTTTCCCTCGAAAATTTCGGTAAAATCATGTTATGATGGCTGGTTTAAGGGTCAAGGTCATTGTGAATTGGACATTATTATTAAGGCGGCTCTAGATTTAATGTGGCAATCGAATATTCCGAAGAAGGTTAAATTATATGGTTGGCGTTTATGTTTGGACAGGCTTCATACTCGTTTGAATTTGGCGGTCAGAGGAATAATATCGAATCGACACAACTTGGTATGTGCATTTCGCTTTAGTTCTGTTGAATCTTCTTTTCATCTCTTTTTTTTTTGCCTGCGAGTTTGTCTTGTTTAGAAGACGGTGTTTGTTTGGGTTGATGTTGAGTGGTTCGGGGCAACAAACTATTGTGAGCACCTTCTTGAATGGTTTGTAAGGGTGGTGGAGAGAACTTCGGAAAAAATGGTAGCGATTATTTAGTTATGCACTTGTTGGTGTCTTTGGAGGGCGAGAAATCAAATTTTATTTAATGAAGCATTTTGAGATCTTAAAGAAATTTTCTATAGAATAGTAAATTGTTGCATGTGGCTAGCAATTCCATTTAAGTGTCGATTTTCTTGTAATTATTATGAGTGGTATAAATGTTCCACTGTAATATTTTAGTTTTGCTCAACCCTTAGTTGATTGGGGTCATTTTTGAGTATTCCCTTCTGTTTCATTCGATTATAAAAAAATATATAAAAATATAAAAAAAACTAGCACCAATGTAATACAATTAACTAATATTGCCAATCCCTTTGATATATCTGTTAACATCTTGATCATTATGTTAAAATTAAAGGAAAAACATAAATTCCAAATAAAATAAACTAAAAACAACTCCAAATTACTTAACGTGTTTAAAAAAAAGGATAAAAAAATGATCAGCTACTCATTTGCGAGTCGTATCTGGATCAGGTCCTTCTCCTCCTCCACCTGTGCCACCTGGTTTTCTTCTACTTCTTTCATCTTCTCTTTTGTTTTTATCGTTAATACATTTTCCGATAAGAAACACTAAACATACTATGCCTCTGTTACAAAGGAAAAACAAATAGATAATAATAAATTAATTTATATCATATCAGTTTATACCTCTTAAATTATTTGGTGACTGTAATGAAATAAGTTAATTAATTAAATATATAATATTTAATATAGTTGAATTAACTTATAAATATTAAATGATGCACAATATGTTTAATTAATATTTGTCAATTGTAAGTAAGATAACTAAAGTACATTTAATAAATTATAAACTACTTAAATTAGTTAATTAAAAAAATTTATGAGCTAACATAAATATAATTTTGTGACAAAATAATAATTATCAAATTAATTTTTTAAAAATATAAATTTATAAGTTATAAGTCATAAACTCATAGTATAACTTTGTGAAATTAAAATTAAAAAAAAACAAAGAATCTTTTCAAACAATTAATAAGAAGACATTTATGATATTTGGAATTATTTTACTTTTTTTTTTTACTTTTAACTATTTACTTAACTCTGTTCTAAATTGTTTTAAATTATAAATCACTATTATAAATTTAATATAATCTTAATGATTTTTTCAACAAAAAGTTTTATGTTTTAATACTCTTCTTTCTTCCAATTTAAGTTTTTCTTTAATATATTATTAATAAAAGATAATATTGTAAAATTATATATAACATACTTTTTCATATAAAATTTCTATTTTCTTTAATTCGTATTAATTGTCTAAACTTTTAAAATTTTGGGTCAGTCTGAATATTATCTTGCTTCATAATAAATCATTTAAAAAAGCAATTTTAACAAAGTAATGATTAATACTGTTTTAACTTTTGAAAATTATAAATAAAGATAAATAAAAAAGTTCTGCAAAATATTCAATATTTAAAAAACGGAAGGAGCTACTTACATGGTAATTATCACTGATTTTTTAGAGATACAGTTGGTGGTTTGCGGCATTGGCATATTTCTCTATTTTTATTTCTCCAAATTTAGTGAGTTTGATCTATATTTGTTGTGGTTTGTTGAATGTGGATTTATAGAGAAGGAAGCATATATATATATATATATATATATATATATATATATATATATATATATATATATATATATATATATATATATATATATATATATATATATATATATATATATATATATATATATATATATATATATATATATATATATATATATATATATATATATATATATATATATATATATATATATATATATATATATATATATATATATACATGCGCACTGTCGATTAGAACTAGAACTAAAACACGTATTAGCATTTGAAATGTCAACTTTAAACACTTATATCTATATGAGTCAATAATCTACGATCTATAATTTAATACCATTGGCAAATTATTTATACTAAATACCTATAACTTATAATCTTCCTTTCAAATCAAATAAACCACTAACTTTTATTAGTCTTAAATAAATGAGTATTGTATATACTATTGTGTTTATATTTTCATATGGTACATGGTAGGTTGAAATGGGTTATCCTCACAGCATGGTCAACTATAATTCAGGTATTGATTAGAGTGGAACGTGGTTAGAATTCAAAGAGATGGGTGCGTTCACACAAACAACTTGTTTCTTGATTTTGGAACAATTAATATAGAAGCATTATTTTGGAATAATTGTCAAGGGTC